AGCATTAATTTTACAGGAAACATTTCATTAACATATGTGTATAGAGGAGCAGTCATAGCCACTGATAGATTAAAAAAATCATAACTCACCTAAATTTCCAAAGATCAGACATGTCACATAGAAAACAAAGTTGGCAGGTGTCATCGTGTGCAAACCTCTGTGTTAAATGAAATGAACCTTGACTTTTTTCCACTCTTTAAAGACGAGACAGCTTTTGATTGGCCATTGCAAAGTCATGTGATCTGTCCCCAATATGAAATGCGTCTTCTGTGCACGCAGAGGGTTGTTTCCTTTGATAGGATGATATAGCGACAGGTCCATAATGGTTGTGTCATGTTTATTTTTTTAATATTTTCAGTCTAAAACTGATCATTATAAAGAGTGTAAACACAAGTGAGGACACACAGTGGAACTTATTTCTATTCATCATTTACAGACTTGTGTACAAAAGAGACAGACTAAGGCACCCGGCACTTGCTGGATGTTTGCATGATATCGATCTCTTTGTGACAGTATGACTGACACACTTCTCATGCTGCCCAGAGGAGGCAGACTGTAATGAGGTCTGTATACACTTTTTTGATGTTGTGAAAACTAAAAAGAAATGTCCACTCACTTTCATCGTAGAAGTGAGAATAAAAGCAAATGTAACGTGGTAAGTTTGGACAGGCATTTGACCTTGCAATCCCCTCACTCTTTATTTTAACATGTATCTTCTGGAATATGTTTTTTAGCTAATTATTTAGCTACCTGAAATGGACTGTTGGTACAGCGCACATTCAGGTAACAGTATGAAAATAACTGTTACCTGATATTTCTTTCAGGTAGCATCTATTTTTGGTCAAACACCCAAACATTATCCTAAAAACAACAACTGGCTACTTAAAGAGGCAGAAAATAAATAGCAAAGGGGTTGAGATGCTGTGCTGTTTCAGTAGTGCCTCATGCATCAAAAATGAGTGAACACAGATTCAAAGCAAGATCTTTCTGGAAGGTCATGAAAGTTTGCCACAACTCCTTCAGTCCTCAGCCTGTTCTTATATTAATGTTTTGTGAGCTGAAAACCAGGACGTCATTGCCTTTTTGGAGAAGGAGACATTATAGGAGTTATCACAACAAGTTGTAACAACTATAACGGCTTACTGTCCGCAGCACTTGCAGTGAAGCTAATGCCCAACATATTGCTTTGCTTTCCTTTGAAACACATCAGTGGATGACTGAGACCCTTATATTTAGAAGCCAGTCTGGGAAAGTCCCTCCACAATGCTGTAGAATAGCATCAGACAGAATGGTTCATTGTCTTAGTAGCAGTGACAAAGACACCCCCAAAATAAAGAAAAAGAAAAAAACATGCAGCAGGCTAGTCCTCGTTGCCTTAGTTTCATTGCAGCAATTCAAAAGTTTCTCAGCACTTTGTATGGCCCCCATGTGCTTGTATGCATGCCTGAAAATTCTGGGCCATACTCCTGATGAGATGATGGATGATGTCCTTCTTCCAGATCTGGACCAGGACATCACTGGGCTACCGGACTGTCTGTGGTGCAACCTGGTGGTGTCAAAAGGACTGAAACATAATGTTCAAGAGGATTGAGGTCAGGCAAGTGTTGGTGCCTGTCAGTGTTATCAATTCCTTCATTCTCCAGGAACTATCTGCACACTCTCGCATTGTTGTGCACCAGGAGGAACCCAGGACCCACTGCACCAGTGTAAGGTCTAAGAATGAGTCAGAGTATTTCATCCCAATACCTTATGACAGACAGGTATCCAAAAGTAACTGCCTGTCTCCTCTAATCTCTTCCTTGCTCTTGAAACTGTGCTGGGAGTGAGCAAGTATTGATGTGCCATCCTGGAGGAATTGGACTACTTGTGCAATCTTTACAGTCCATGTATCACCTCATGCTACCATTAGTATAGCATAGAGCTGGGCGATATAAGATTTTTTCATATCACGATATGTTTTTTTCATTTCAGGCGATAACGATATATATCACGATATAAGCCAAATAACTATATTTGTAAGATTTAAATGTGCCGTTGCTCACAAGTAAAATGTGAAAT